CCCTGCCGGCCCCGCCTCTCCATGCCCCGCCCCATCATTGGCTAGCGTCCCGGTCAGGTCCCGCCCCATCATGGGCTAGGCCCCCGCCCCTCCTGGCTGGCCCACGCTCCTCGTCGACTCCGCCCTCCCTACCGTAGGCCCAGGCCTCGGCCTCGCCCCTGCCCTCCCTCGCTAGGCCCCGCCCTCTCCGGCTAGGCTCCGCCCCCACCCAACTGGGCCGCGCGGTGGTCTAGTCCCAACCCCCATGGACTCTGGGTCCGGCTCTGGCGCTCCAGAGTTGTGTGCCTGCTCGTACTGTGACCTGGGAGTGGCTTCCTTGGAGCGAGGCTCAGTTTGTGTGTCTGCAAGATGGGGAGGCGGTGCTGGCGGAGGGTCTCCCAGGGTGCCTGTCTCTCTGGGTACCTACAAGGCTGGTTAAGGTTCAGGGCCCACGTCCTTGAAGCTCTCGCTGCAGGCGTTCTTCCGTCTTTGTCTACAGGGAGCACAGGTTGGACCCTCCTGATAACTCCTGAACAGATGGTTCTTTCCCGAATTTCTACAGAGAGGGAAATGCAGCCCGCAGGCCCTGGAGTGGGGAGCCTGCGTTTGAACCCTGCGGGTCTCTCCCGCTGGGGGTGCCCTTGGGTGGGGGTTGGGTTGGGTGGCTCTGGAGCGCTGTGCTGCATTGGGTGTATTCACAGCCACTCAGGCCTGGCTGCCCGGGACCCCCGCCTGAGGCTGCCGAGACCAGGGCATGAGCCCCGCTCTGCTGGAGACAGTGGGGAATCCAGCCCTCCCCAAAGGGGTTGCCCAGACCTGGCCATTTGTTCTGCTCTCCGTGGAGGAGAGGCTCTTCCACACCGTTGTCACCAGAGAGGCCTGCACCCACGTGTCTGCTGGGGAGCATTGTGGCTTGCCCTTCTCTGTCCCAGTACCTGCCTGGTGCACTCCATAAGGAGGGTTTGAGGAACGTGAGTTTTGTTGTGCTCGGACCACCTGTATAAAGGCTCGGGAATGGAGGCACCTGCTCCCTCCTTGAGCACCTGCTCTGTGCCAGGAAAGCAAACACGATCCCCATTTTCCTGGAACTTACTATCAGATGGGGCAGATGGAGTTTTTAAAAGTTTGCAGAGGGCCGGCCCCGTGGCTTAGTGGTTAAGTGAGCGCGCTCCACTGCTGGCGACCCGGGTTTGGATCCCGGGCTCGCACCGACGCGCTGCTTCTCGGGCCATGCTGAGGCCGCGTCCCACATACAGCAACTAGAAGGATGTGCAGCTATGACACACAACTATCTACTGGGGCTTTGGGGGGAAAAATAATAAATAAAATCTTTAAAATCTTTAAAAGTTTGCAGAAAGTTAAGGGCCGTGAAGACCAGCAGGTCGTGAGAGGGATGGCACTGTCCTGCAGAGCCCTGGGTGGGACAGAGCAGGGAGGGCCTGGGGAGCCTGGAGGCTTTGGAGGGAGTTTGTGCCACTGTCTGGGTGATCTGGGAAGCACTGGGGCTTTAAGCGGCAGCTTTGTAAGGTTAGATTAGCTCTTAAAATGATCACTGGCAGCTGGGGAGAGCGGAGGGGGCCCAGGACTGAACGCTGGAGCCCAGTCGGGGGCATGGCTTGTCACGGCAGTACAGGCGGGTGGAGAGGTTGGCCTGGACTAGAGGGATGGCAGCGCAGACGGGAAAGCAGCATGGGGTTGACCTGTGCTGTCAGGCATAGTCTCTTCAACTGCATATTAGTTAAACTTGAGTAAAATTGAAAGTTTAGTCCCTCAGTCGTCCTAGCCCCGTTTTGGTGCTTAGTAGCCTCATGTAGCCAGTGCCCGCTGTATCGGGCAGCTCAGAGAGAGAGCATTTCCATCCTTGCATAAAGTTCTGCCAGACCGCGCTGGTCTGCACTGCCTGATGCACTGGATATCAGAGTCAAGTGGAGGGCAGATCAAGGAGGACCCCAGGGTTTGAACTTGCTCAGTGTGGCGGGGTATCTGCAGAGGGGGATGCCTTGGGGTCTGGGGTGGAGGAGTCACCTGGGCCATCTTCCCTACCTCTGCCTCTGCTCACAGCTCCTTTCTAAGTTTGCCTCTAACTTTTTTTTTTTTTTTTATGTGAGGAAGGTCAGCCGTGAGCTAACATCCGTGCCAATCCTCCTCTTTTTGCTGAGGAAACTGGCCCTGGGCTAACGTCTGTGCCCATCTTCCTCCACTTTATATGGGACGCCGCCACAGCATGGCCTGATAAGCAGTGCATTGGTGCACTCCCGGGATCCGAACCCGGGCCGCCAGCAGCAGAGCGTGCACACTTAACCGTTATGCCATAGGGCTGGCCCCTGCCTCTAACTTCTTGAGCTTCTGACCACTTCTGAAGTGTGTCACCCTCTTCTCAGTGTTTGGTACCTGTCCCTGAGAAAAGATACATTAGTCCTTCTCTTCTCCAAACTCTAACAGAAACAGAAGACAAAGCAGGCTTCTTATTTGTAGACTTTAGGTAAAAAGCCTGGGAGGCAGATTTTGTCCTACTACTGAGAAGTACATGTCTCCGTGTTTCAGGTATCGAGAACCTTCCCTGTGAACTTCAGAGAAACTTCCAGCTGATGCGAGAGCTGGACCAGAGGACAGAAGGTGGGTTCAGGGGAGCTGGTGCAGTGGGGCCTGGCCTTGGCTTTAGGCGTTGGGTGGTGCCTTAGAGAGACAGTTGATACTTTAAGATCAAACTTAGTTCCTTGGATTCTTACACATCTTCACGTCACATCTTTATAAGCATCATCCCCTCTTTGCAGTCAAAATGTTCATTACCTTTTCTTTCCTTTAAAAGATTTTCTATTTCCAAACTACGTGTGCATAATTTAAATAGATAGCGCTTTCTGATCTCTTGAAGTTTAACTCCCTATTTCTAAATGTATGTTTTTGCTGCTATTTCTTATTTTATTTTTCTTTAGTTTTAGACTTTATCTACATAGTTGTTATGGAAAATGAAGAGTTCCTTCTCCACTTGCACCCCACCCAGCTCCTGCATACCCATCTCCCTCCCCCGTCTCCTGGTGTAGTGGATTAGAATTTGAATCTGTGGTGGACCGGTGATGGTGTTTCCATGGGACTGCTGTGTAGGTAGTTTACAACTGAGCCGCTCCACATGCTGTGCTTCATGACCTTTTCTGGATCACTGTGGTTTTCTTGGAGTTTTGTGTCAGCTGCACCAGGTTCTCTGCTGGTTCTGTGTTTGCTCCCATGGAGATGGCTCTCCTGGAGCCCTCTGTTCTGCGGTTCTGGTCTGGGCCGATTGTTTCTAGGACTACTGTGCAGATGTTGCCCTGGGTTCTCCTGGGCTCTGCTTCTGCTCCTCTTCGGTGCGGGACCCTGTTTCCTGCCTTGTAAACATCCTCTTTCTTAATTTGCGTGCTTGTTTCGGAGGAGCCTTTTCTCTGGTAGCGTTCTGAAAAAGAGTGCACGAGAAGGTAAACTTCTTATAATGTTGCATTTCTGAAAATGTGTTTGTTCCAGCCTCCTAGTCGATTAGTAGTTTGGCTGGGTATAGAATTCCAGACTGACCAGCATTGTTCCTCAGAATGTGAGAGGCGTTGCTGTGTTGTCTCTTAGCTCCCGTGTTGCTGTTGAGAAATCTGATGCGTTGTGGATTCCTCGCCCTTTATTTGTGTGTCATTTTTTCCTTTGCTGCTTAAAAGCTTTGGCCTGTCCTCTTTATCCCCGAGGTTTTACAGTCCATGATGATGTGCTTGGGTGTGGGTGACTTCATTCATTGTGCCGGCCACACGTTTTGCAAGATTGGAATAGCTGTGGTTTTTCACTAAGGTGTACCGTCCTGACTAGAGGGTGCAGAGACTTCTTTTATTGTGAAATACAGCATTTACATTTAGAAATAAGCATAAACATTTACAGATTGCTTAACAAATATCACCTGGTAAACCTCTCCCCAGATGGAGAAATGGAGCCTCTGGTGCCTGGGGGCTCTGTGTGACCCTCCTGAGTGGACACCACTCCCCGAGAGGCTACCCCCTGAGATTGCACCTGCAGCAGTGGTTTCCTCACCTCTCTAAACCAGAGAGTGAAGAGTTGTGTCTGTTTCCGCCTTTCATATCAGTGGAGTCATACACTATGTTTTCCTTTGTGTCTTCTGTCTCACTCAGTGTCACCTGTTGTGGGATACTCCGTGTTGTCACGTGTGGCAGCAGTTGGTTCCTTTTGTTAATGGGTAGCATTCTGTTGTATGAATGGACCACAGCTTATTTATCTGTTTTATTGTAGATTGGACGTTTGGGTTGTTTCCTGTTTTCTGCACTTAGGAAGGTTTTCCCATGTGTATCCTGACGTCTAAATCTTTAGAAGATGTACCTAGTAGTAGTATGCTAGGTCATAGGTAAGGTGGGCACATACTTTATTATTCAGACAGGGACTCTTGAGAGTCAAAGAGGGCACAATGAGTACTGGCTGGCACAGCAGTCCTGTTCTGGGACTCTCTTGGGGACATTGCCCTGGTTGTAATGTCTGCACATCTGGGTGGATGCACACCTCTGTGAATGCATACCTCCATGATGCACACCTCCAAGGATGCACATGTCCACAATGCACACCTCCTTGGATGCACGCCTCTGTGATACACACCTCCGTGGATGCACACGTCCATGGATGCACACCTCCATAGATGCACATCTCTGTGATGCACACCTCCATGATACACACCTCCATGTGCATACCTCCACAATGCACACGTCCCTGGACACACACATCCATGATGCACACTTCCATGATTCACACCTGCATGGATGCACATCTCCATGATGTACACCTCCATGGATGCACATGTCCATGCACATGTCCATGACGCACACTTCCATGATGCACATGTCCATGGATGCACACCTCTGCGATGCACACCTCTGCAATGCACATGTCCATGGATGCACACTTCCACAATGCACACTTGTGCGAATCACACCTGCATGGATATACATCTCCATGATGCACACCTCCATGGATGCAACCCTCCATCATGCACACCTTTATGATGCATACCTCCATGGCTGCACACCTCCATGATGCACACCTCCACGATGCACATGTCCGTGATGTAGACCTCCATGATGCACACGTCTATGGATGCACACCTCCATGATGCACACCTCCCCGATGCACACCTCCACGGATACACACCTCTACGATGCACACATCCACGATGCACACTTCTGTGGATGCACACCTCCATGGATGCACACCTCCACGATGCACACCTCTATGATGCACACCTCCATGGATGCACACCTCCACGATGCACACCTCTGTGGATGCACACCTCCACGATGTATACCTCTGTGGATGCACATGTGCACGATGCAGATCTCCATAGATGCACAACTCCATTTATGCACACGTCCACGATGCACACCTCTATGATACATATGTCCACGATGCACACCTCCATGGATGCACACCTGCACGATGCACACCGCCATGAATGCACACCTCCACGATGCATACCTCCACGGATGCACACCTCTGTGATGCACATGTCCATGTATGCATACCTCTGTGATGCACACCTCCATGGATGCACACCTCCACGATGCACACGTCCATGATGCACACCTCCATGATGCACATGTCCATGATGCACACCTCCGTGATGCACACTTCCATGATGCACATGTCCATGATGCACACCTCCATGGATGCACACCTCCATGAATGCACACATCCATGATGCACACCTCCATGAATGCACACGTCCATGATGCACACCTCCATGAATGCACACGTCCATGATGCACACCTCCATGAATGCACACGTCCACGGATGCACACTTCCGCGATGCACACCTCCACGGATGCACATGTCCACGATGCACACCTCCATGATGCACACTTCCACGATGCACACCTCCATGGATGCACGCCTCCACGATGCACACCTCCATGAATGCACACGTCCATGGATGCACACCTCCATGATGCATACCTCCACGATGCACACGTCCATGATGCACACCTCCATGAATGCACACGTCCACGATGCACACCTCCGTGAATGCACACATCCACGATGCACACCTCCATGATG